AGAGCAACTCAGCTACATTCCTGTTTTGCCATTTTTTATCAGTGGAACTTCCACGGGATCACTATTGTTAGTACACTTAGCATTGTCATTTTTGGACTAGGGTGGGAGTGGAGCACAATTTACATAGATTTATAGGACTGAGTTTATTTCACAGGGCTATTTTTCTGTTGATATCGACCAACGTTCAATCTGGGTAGAAATCTGCTTACTATTATTGTCACAGCCTGTTTTTGTTAGGAAGCATTTTACTATGTTTAATCTCTGCAGAGTGCCAATTGTGGAACTGTAAGGTTCATTCATGTTCTTGGTTGCTGTTAGGAAATCCATTTTGGTGCGGTTGTATTTTTGATTGACAATGGTTCAGAATATTTTTTTCGACTATGTGTATTTTGGAAGTGGGATGGGCTTTGGTTACTCTATAGTAAGTGCTTGCCCCAATCTTAGGGCTTGGACTATATTTACATTTTGGAAATAATTTAGTGAACTCTAAGAAAGCTCCTTTGGCCTCTGAGAAAAAGGGAAATTGGAAACAGGTTCATTTCCACCTGTCTTAAATTGATTTCCCTTTTAAAAAGAAGTGGAGAGGTTAAATACTTACACAAAAGCCAAATAACATAACAGTAACCATACATCTTGATGAGATTATTATCTCATATTTTATCGTAGTCCTGTAATTCAACCTTGTATATAGGCTGAGACTATAGGTAACAATTTATGGTAATCTAAGACTATACATACTGGAAGTAAGATGAACTTAGTAAAAATTCTTATGGTGGTTGTTCTTTAAGGTATAAGATTAGGAAGTGTATACTGCATGTATTTTAAGGCTGAATACATTCAAACTTGACAATTTAAAACTTTAATAATTATTGTTATGTAGCCTGAACTCTACAGATCTGTCATTGAAGATGTGATTGAAAGAGTACGGGATCTATTTGCTGAAGAAGGTATAGAGGAACAAGTCTTAAAAGACTTGAAGCAGGTTTGTATACAAGTTTCTCTGCTTTATTGGTTTTTTTTTCAGCTTATATAACTGATAAATTATAGTTCTAACCCCTTAATTATAGTTTAGTATTTACCCATTCATTGTGCCATCAACTGACAGCTTAATTTTTAAAGAAGTAAAAAAGATAGAAATAAATATTACACTGTTTTATTTAAAAAAAGGAAACTTTTTTTTTTCTCTGCAGCTCTGGGAAACAAAGGTTTTGCAGTCTAAAGCAACAGAAGACTTCTTCACAAGTAGCCTCCATTCACCCCTGTTCACGCTTCAGCTGCCACACAGCTTGCACCAAGCATTGCAGTCATCAACAGGTTGGAGACCGTTAGGAAATTAGTACCATTCGGATCTTCAGAACAAATTCTCATTTGGTGGTGGTTTTGAATTAGGGTAATGTTCTTAAGGTGATAGGGCTCTGACCTCAAAAATCATTAAAGGGACACAGTCATCCCATGTAATTACTGACAACAAATTAGGTTATTCAAACCGGTTTTTAAAAATATTAAAGTCCACAAAGGTGACAAAGCCTTGCTTCAGAGGAACAAGTTATATAGTTTGTGGGCCATTGGGAGCATGCATTGGTTGTTTCAGAGCATTTGACTGGGTCTAGTGAAGGAGAAACTCAGCCACCTTTGCTGAAGAAGCAGAGGGAGAGATGGGTGCCTGCATACTTGTGTATTCTTTCTCTCTTGCTTCCTGCATATATTATATATCAGTTATTGGGAGCAACATGGAGAGTTAGCGAGAATATGGAGATTATTCAGGTTACCTCACTGTTTTGGATATACACAGTGATGGCTAGAAATTGACCATATGTCTTTTATCTTTATTCTTGGACTTTTGAATCTATGCCTCTGCTTTTAAGAGAAATATTTGTCCATATTTATATCAGTTTAAATTGGAAAAGACTAGTGTATGAAAGATAAAAACTATCCTGTTGTATCTTTCTAGCCTTTATTCCTTCTTTTCTCCTCCGATTCTTAAAATCTTTATGCCACTCTAATGTGTGTGTGTGTGTGTGTGTGTGTGTGTGTATATATATGTATATATATATACACATACTATATGTACTGACATATACATATACACACACACAAATACATCTTACTGAGTTTAGCTGAAATTCACCAGATTCATGTTTGCAAGGGGTGAGGGTAGAATGTGGATTAGATCATCAGTAATAACTAGATTGTTCATTGCATACTTGGAAAAATTCACATGAAAATCATGTGGGCCAAGGTGAAGAGAAAGACAGTAAGGAGGCTAGTAACTCGTTTATTACAAAAATGAGAGAATTTAAGTGTGGCAGCAATCATAACGTATAAAAATGAAATAAACTAACAATGACTATTGAATTACCAAGCACATCTTTTATCTAATGCTATGCTTATAAAGTATAACTCTGCCCTGTAAGAATTAGCCATAGCAGTTTTAATTACTAAGTTGACACATTGAAACATTTTCCATTAGTTCTTGGGTTTTGGGCTGTTTTTATTTTTTAACTTTCCTATTTTCTTTTTTTAAAGATTTTATTGGGAAATTG